GATGTTCAGAACGTTATTAGTGACTTTGACCAGGGCTGTTTCCATGCTATAGGTAGCACAGAAGCCGGATTGGAGAGGTTCAAAGAGGGAATGACGAGAAAGAACTTGTCACTTCCAAGGGAAATAGCTCAAATGACTACTTATCAGAGTTGACTAGTTTTCCAAACTTGAAAGTATAAAGTAAAGTACTTGAATAGCTGGGATAGTGGGTGAGTGCCTAGTTGTGAAGGAATGATGACTTATTCTGTGTTATCAGTTTCACTGTAAATCTAAATTGTTGTTTTCTGTTCACTTGGGCTGTGACAATTCTACCGGCTCATCAGCCTTTTATCTTGATAAGGTGACCATTCTTTTGTATAACCTGTTTAGTGAAATTTAATTGACTATTGGAATTCGTATAATCCTGTCTTGCCTTGACATGAACATAAGTGAAAATAGCAGCAGAGGTCAATGGATAGTGATTAAATGGGAGCCAATTCTTTTTCCTGGATATCAAGACCAATTGTAGACCTCTACTCTTGTCTTGCACTGCTGACAGCACAGACCGCACTTAATCCTGGGTCCTCTTAGTCTGTCTGGAGGTTGGCTTCATGCAGTGCATTTATATAAATTCCTTGCAGGCTGACACAAATCTATAGGCTTAGGCACTGGGTATCCTTATCTTACTTGGACCTGTTCCAATGATGCATATTTCTTGTGCATGTCAGAATAGCCTTACTCACACTGACATTAGATTGATCTACAGAAGAATTTACTGATATTTACTTGCTGCTATAGTTTGCATTGTTGAACGGGCAGAAATCTGGGAGGGAGAGTGAGTGGTGGAATTGTTGATGCCTCCTGCTACATAAAGTGCAAGAGATTTTTTTAAAACTATAGAATGGAGGAGTACTTTATGGCTGCTATCAGTCTCTCTAAGCTTTCCTTCTGTTTTAAGGAACTATCAATAGATGGATAATGTTGTAATGTACTGTAATAAAAACAAATACATAGACTCTCACAGTCTCACTAATGAAATGTTCGCCATTGGCTTGTGCTGATAGGGGTTTTAGTACTTTAAAACCCTACAGAATTAATCAGCCTTATTGTGTTTATAAACATATATTTACAGTTCCATTTCATGATTATTCCAAAAGTATATGAAAATCCGAACACTTAATAACAATTCCGTACGAGATGCTTTGAGATATTTGAGATAAAGTGCTGTTTTGGATGGAAAATTCAAATCCAGAATTAACCGTCATGGTGGAGTTCTACATTGTTGGAGGTGCCGTCCTTCAAATAATACTGAAGTTCCTTCCGTCTGTTTGTTCAGGTGGATGTTAAAGATCCTTACTAATGGCACTACTTGGAAAGAGAAGGATTGTCTCTTAGTGTCCCAACCACCAATAATCCCCCATATAAATTCCCCATTTGTCTTCAAAATATGCAGTTACTCTACTTTACAGTATTTAATTCATAATAATATAATAATAATCCTTCAATACTGTTAGTGGTTACATCTTTAATACCTATTTCTCCTAAACTTACAGCTTCTTGTTGACTGATTCTGAATATCTTGAGCCTCATCTAAGCAACACATTTTTCATCTGAGCCAAGGCAGTGAATACCATCCGCTTAATCCTGTCCCATTTGTGTCCCATCCTTGTACTCTCTCCAGCAAGAATCTGTCACCCAGAGAAGCCAGTACTGATTATATTTAGCTAACTCAGCAGCATGCACTGGAAAATAAACCTGTGACTTGTTGTTCTGAAGAACTCAAATTCACGCTGCCATTGCATTGAGAAACCGAAAGATCAATTGGATTGTATACATTAAAAGTTAAAGGAGCAACAGAGAATCAGGAAAGAGCAGGGATATTGGATCAGAATTAGTAGCTCTGATGGGTAGCCAGCAAAGCAGAGGCATGATGGGATTAATGATCTTCTACGCTCAAATCTGTGAGTTTGTAATTTTATTCAGTGAGAATTTGCATTTCCCAGCAATGTAGGGAGGGGCACAGTGTATGAATTTAGTGAACTTAACGGGAAATAACTTCTGTTGAGCTATCCTAGATGAGATGTGCTAGATGAGATAAACTAATGCTAGCAAATGGGTGACATTATCATTTGAAAAACAATCCGATGATTTTGTTTTTCACTGCAACATTGACCTCAAGTGTGCTAACCAGTTAAATCTGCTTGCTGCGCATATTGACATGAGACATTTAGACAATATTAGTCCACAAAATATTAACCTCCAAATAACCCCTTTATGCAGCAGGCTTACTGTGATAACCTCCAACTGGCACGCTTCTGACTGATTTCATATTTTTGTTCTTTAAGATGTTGGTGCCATTATGTTCAGGGTGTTCTGTGTAGCAACCGTGGCAAAGCCATGATTGCACTTAAATAATAATAATAATAATAATAATCCTTGCATTTGATATAGCGCTTTTCACGTCAGGAGGACGTCCCAAAGCGCTTCACAGAATATACTGTAAAGTAAAGGCAAATAGATAAATATTTTCCTGATCCTCAATGCATTTGCAAAAATGATAAATGTTTGTGACCAAAACAACTCAAGTGCCTGTAGTTTGAAAATACTGGTTGGGCTGGAGTTGCTTTAAAGGGCTTCAGATGATCCCATGTTCTTCCAGTTTAAACAATAAGCAACACTCACATTGTTTAAACTGCTAGAACACGCATTATCTAAAGCCCTTAAAAGCAAACATTTAATTGCTGCTGCTTCCTAGTCTAGTGAAACATCAGGGCTATCAATTCCAATGGAGGAACTGGTGCCACAGAGAAGCAGTGGAGAAAAATGGTAATTAAACCTTATGTCAGTCAATGGTGCTGATGTGACAATTGATTACCATCTTTAGTAGTTTTGCATTCTGCAACACCTTTTTTATATTACCTTGCCCTTCCAGTAAATCAAAAACTATGAGGAACAATGTGAAAGGCGTTTTTCTTGTTCTTTGCAGGTCTGTTTTTATTGTACTGTAGTCCAGTGCAGTCCTGTAGCTCAGAGGTTAGAGCACTCGCTTTGCAAGCGAGAGACCTGGTTTCAATTCCAGGCAGAGGGCGAAACCTTGGGCAAGTTTCCTTACTCCACACGCCTAATAATAATCCCTCCAAAACAAAAACAATAATTAAATTGGTCATTTTCAATCTACAACTGTTTGTGGGACATTGCTGTGCGCAATTGGCTGCCACATTCGCCCACAAATATACAGTCAATTCACTTTACAGTGTGTTCTGTGAAGCGCTTTGGGATGTCCTCCCGACGTAAAAAGCGCTATATCAAATGCAAGGATTATTATTCTGCTAGAAGTGATGGGGCAGCACACCAACATCAAGTTTTAATACTTTTATAACTGATTTACAGATGTGATGGGTGGAGCCATATTAGTTTCTCAGTTTTATGTTGGTGAATGTGCTGTAGATGCAACATCTTTATGAGAAAATGTTGTTCCCCATTTGGTGATGGTTTGGCGGGCATAATATTTGGCATATGCTAAAAGCAGGAACACTTCTGTACTTCAAAAAAAAAGCTTGAATAATTCTTATTGGCCTTTCCTTTCATAGAATGACAATGTGACACAGTTAATTAGTGTTTTTGCCCATACTCTGATGTATTTGATGCCAGCTGAGTTCTCAAGTTGTTTTGTTGTAATGGAAACTCACTTCAGGAAGGATTTACCTTTACTTCAATCAAACCAAGTGCTTAGTGCAATCACTGTAACTTTTACAATTACACAGATCTGTCCTTGTTTGCATCTGTTACTAAGCCTGAATTAAAGCAACTGAATCCTACTAATGCTGAGATGTTGCGCTTCTGATCTCACCATTGCCTTTGGACAGATGCAACAATGCAAATACAAAAATCATGAGGTGAATAACCTATTCCGTTTTTGTTGAGCTTACATTGCTGCAACAAGTTGATTTGCTTGCATTGACACTCTGCTTTCACCTTTACCAGTTACTGATTTGTGTCCAAATGCAAATAAACGGCTGCTGCATATGAGGTATTGAAATATAATTGTCAGGCATGTGTGTGCACGAGTGATTTGAGTTTTGTTATCAATGCCTGAAAGTGTTGGAGTGATTCTTGTGCAAGAAATTTTACATAATTGTGGTTCCTTGTACACTAATCTGCACCATTTGAAACAATATCGTTTTATAAATTTTGGAAGTCATTGTTACTTAATACCATAGTAGCTAGCCACAGTTTATGGATACCAGTGATAAAAGGCTGAGAAATTGGATTTTGGAATATCGAAGGTTAAGAGAGGATCTAATGAAAGTCTTCAAATTCCTGAAAGATATCGATTAAATAGGTTGCGAAAGATTGTTCTTGCCGTGAAATAGTAATCAGGATTGGGGTTATTGCATTAAAAGAAACATTTTGATACAGAGTGTTATTGGAAAATGGAATGTCTCTCCAAAAATCGTTGAGGTTCAGACACTA